GCTACTAGTAACAAGTGCATCGCTTCTAGTAACAAGTGCCTTACTAGTAGTAACACGAAGCTACTAGTAACAAGTGCATCGCTTCTAGTAACAAGTGCCTTACTAGTAGTAACAAGAAGCTACTAGGAGCTGGCTGGTGCAGAGCGCCTCCCGATCGTCGATGAAGTGCGCTGCACAGAGTCGCGGTCCGCTTTTTCGGCGGAGGTGCTACGAGTGGTGCTCCTCCGACCCGGTGCCAATGCGAAAGGAAAGAACGAACAGGTGTGGCGCATATTTTTCCGGGTGGGTTTTAGCCGCCTTTTTGGAAGCCAATGGGACAGCAACATGAACCTCCTGAAGGTAGAGCTCCAGGTGTTGAAGCACGAAGGTTTCTCAAGCACGCACTGCACTTTACTCTGCTTGGATTTGTTTTGTGCTGGGGCTCTGACAAGGGGTCGGACCCTTTGGCTTACCTCACTGCGTCCATCCCAAACGAACTGCTAAGCCGAATGTCAATGCCCTCCCATCTTCTCCTCGAGCCGGAGCCTGTGCGGCTACTAGTTCTCCCATTCTTTAGCATGGTCTTGGTGGTCGGTAGCCGAGTCATTCCCGCGATCCTGGCATCCAATCCGTGGCAAACTTTCCACATCTCAAGACACAAACGCCAACTCATGTGTGCTCAGTGCAGAAAATCCTGGGGCAAGTCCAAATCTGAACCATCGACACTTAAGACTAAGATCCAATCAAATCCATCAATACCATCCTTTGCACACTTCTTTTTGACCAAACGTCCTTGGACCCTCTCTCTTGTAGATGGGAAAGGTGTGCGGATTGCCCCGGCCAACGATCTTTTGCAGCTCCTCAATGATCAATGAAGTGTTGGTTGATCAGGTCAAAAAACGGTTATTGTATGTGTGTTGCATTATTACATTGTGTTGCTGCTTGCCTTGAAATCATTGATAAGCAGGAAGCCCAATCCAGGTTGTTGGCAGAATGGCCCAAGCAGTGTCATGCCCAAGGGACAGGCACTCATTAGATGGCATAAGCATCGGGTACCTATACACAAAGTAATGATTGCATCTCGGCAGTCCTCAAAGGTAGTAACAAACTCGCCAATATACCCATGGTTCCCAAGCCGGATCCAGTCGTGCACCTCAGAACATGTCCAACTCGGAATTCAAAACTCGTATAACAATATCTGTGCGGAATCTCTGCTCAAAGACACTGTGATGATAATGTCTTGGCCAGTATCGCAGCCACTGGTCTGCGCAACTGTGAAGCTAGCTTCCTGGTGATCGGCGCTGAATGTCATATTGGCAGGAGATTCGCACAAGTGTGAGGTTAACATCTGTCATCGATTTACCTCTGCTCAAGTTCTTTTTGTTTTAACCTTTGGCCCGTAGAGTTTCACATTTGCGTCTGGCTTGCACGAGAACAGCTGTCCGGGGTTGCTCTTGGATAGGGACATGATGCTGGTATGAATCCTGACAAGGAGTTGTGCAATTGAGGTGCGACTGCGAAGCCGCAACGCGCTTAAACACATGGCCCTGTCCAGCAGGTTGCTGTTCAATGCTGGCAAACTCCTCCATATCTTCTCACGGCTTCCCCACCAAACTCCCAAGAAACTTCAAATTCAGAGCCTGAAAATCTGAGGAATCCTCCGCCACGGAGCTCAGACGCCCCAAACCTACACCCGATCTCCTGCCACAGACCACGTCCTACCGCTCGCGGCGCCTCGAAGCTGGGCTCGGAGCTCTTCCGCGCCACCTCGCTCCGGAAGATCGGTTGCAGTACGATCTCGCCAGACTCGTAGACGGCCTCCCGGTGTGAGTCGACGAGCATGTCGTTTCCTGCTTCGTTCGTTTGGTGTTCGTGTTGGGTTTGCTGATCTTAAATGGAGGGAGTTTTAACACACTGAGGACACCCTTGTGGCAAATGAGCGAGTGCTTTGGAAGAGCTGGTGCTGACTATGCTAGTTGAGCCCTTTGAATCTTTTCGCATCTTCCTCACCAGTCTTAGAAAGTTCAACATGTTCAATTCCTTGCCCTCTCAGAGAATCATCAGTGTCATCGTTTTCCTTCTTAAATTCTGTCTGTGTGTGTTTGTCCGGTCAATTGGCAGCTTTACTTAGCGCATCTTCGCGCATGTCATCAATTTATGCTGCAATTTTGCATGAGTTTGGCTGGACATCAATGACTGTCTTCTGTTTGCTGCCCTGCCCGAAACTTGTTTCATTGTGTTTCCTTGCCATCTTCAGCCATCTCTTCTATTGGGTGACATTGTGGTTTCTTCATGTGCTGACACACTGCATTGTAGAGACGGGTCCTGAAGCAAGCAAAGGGCACATACACAGGTTGGTCGATGTGGCGGGAAAAAAGGACACTAATACTAAGGCTGCAGGATTGCCTAAACAAAAGCCAGGGCCCCTTCTTGAACTCACTTCAATCTTGAAGTCCCATGTGACTTTGCGGCTGATGTCTCTGGCGAACTTTTTGGAGGATCTTTCGCCCCAGGAAGAGAGGTGGATCTTTCGCCTGGATTCGATTCACCACGAAATAGGGATCACACTTCCGCTTCCAGAAATCCGTGGGCTTCAGATCCTGCCCACTCACCGAGAAGCTCAACTCCTCAGTGGCTCAAGACACTTGGATTTCCTCACCGCATGTGCCGCATATGTCAATTAGGTTGGCATGATATCATTTGATATCCTCTATTCTCTGTCCTTCTGTTTGCCACTTCATGACAAGGATGCACCACCAGGTCTCATTGGACACTCGACCTGCTGCATCTCACTAGCCCAATAGTGGAATGATCTGCGAAACAAACCACCATGTCCACACCGGCCCCCTTTGGGCCATCATCACTTGAGTCACAACTTCGCATGTGACTCTCCACATGCCTTGCCGCTTTCCTCTGGCTGTTAGATATGCCAACCACCCGCCACCCGCCCCCTCTTCGGCTGGATGTCTCCCACCATCAACCCACACCACCGACCCATCCAGGCAGCTGCTTTGGCGTTCACCGATTCTTCCGCGTAGATGAAGAGCTTCCCAATGGGCGGGTCTCGAGGCTTCCTCCCATTCCGAAAGGGACCACGAGTCAGAAAACCACAGCCGGAAAGTGGCTGCGTCACAATCGGAATGTTCGGAATCTAGTCTGCATCATGGAATCTTATTGTGCCCAAATGTGCTATCTGGGTGTTCCTGCTGAAGCTAAAATGCATTCGGCACCCCGACCGTGACCCTCCCCATCTCCTCTTGATATTCTCCAGCTTCCTCTTCAGCCAGCCGTGATTCTTGGTATGGGATCTGGCATACACCGCTTCAGCGAGATTGAATTCAGCTGATCCGACGAACTTTTGTTCCATCAGATCTTCATGCATCTCTTGATTTCCTGAGATCGATGACGAAACTCCAATGAAACCGACGGACCATGGTCAGCGGCTCACACACTCCACCAAACAGCTTCAAAGTTCGGCTTAGTTGGCCTTCCAAGTCCGAGACTGAAAAAGTGCAACCCAGCATCTAATAACATAAATCTCCACACGCACTAAGCGCACGTGTTCCTCAGCTTCAGTTTGAGGCAAATGCTTGCAAAACTCATCACAAATGACCAGCCAAACACCTCCGAAAAATTGATCTAATCTGGGAACAAACGGATGACCGAAAATCTTGATCCGAGCTGCGATCCTAAACTGCAACTCGAACATCCGCTCCCAGACTGGCCATCGGGTGTCCTGCACGTTGCAATCGATGTGCTTAGGAGATCTGAGACAAGCTGTGTGCTCTTGGACCCATCTAGACGCATGTTGGTTTCAAGGTGCTTGTGGTATTTGGAACTCATTGTGGGCTCCTACAAAGACCTCCAACATGAATTAACATGACACAAAATACACGGAACACCATGGTACTTGCCACTTCCAAGTCTCCTGTCCACAAATCTCCGTGGTGCCGTACCTTAGCCGTTTGGCAATCTTTGAACATCTGGTGAGGAAAACAACAAGGTTTGACTCTTTGGAAGGCAAACACCTGCTTAGGGGTAATGGGTAGATGGAGGTATCCTTGATTGCTTGGTAGAGAAGCGCAAGTACCAGCTAGTAGGGATCATTGTCCATCTAAAACTGTCTGCTTCTCGGAACCCATTGAACATGCCAAACAGCACGTTGTAGGCCGTTGACGACACAAAGCACACCAGTTGCAGGCCATATCCAGAAAATCGGCAAGACTGGTGGGCTATTGTAGCCCCCCAACCTAACTACTAATAGGAATGGCCTCCAATCTAGAAGCAAGGGTAAATAAGTCTCTGTGTGCAATTCTTCTTCCTCACCTGTGGGGTTTATCATCTGCAAGGCGCTCCATCCAAAGGTCCTCAGTTCCCAATTTGGAGTACACCACGGCGACGGTATTTCCTGAGCTACGCAGTCTGGATGGCTCCCGAGCAGTCTGGAAGGTTCACACTTCTGAGATCTTTGGAGACTTCATCCCTGAGCCATGTTCCCTACAGGAAACGGTGCTGAACGCCCTTTCAGCCCTTTCATGCAACTGTGATTCCATGCCTTTGTTGCTTCCTTGCTTCCACATTGCATTTTCTCATCTGTAGCTGGGAGTGTGTAGGTCATGGGCTGATGGTTGGGGGTGATCTTTGTGACATGATGGTTTTCTGTTTGGAAACATCTAAAGGCCCACCTCAAACATGCAACACAGCAAGCAACCTGGAGCCGCCCAAGCTTCTGCCTTTCTGCAAGCCCTCGCATCGTAAGCCTCACCCAGCACGCATTCGTGCGAGGAACCGACACCAACTGCTGGTCGTTGCAGGCCATTGCAGTGGTACGCTGTGCTTTGCTTCAATGATTGCCACTTTAGGACAACCACGGGGCATACAACCGCCATGCTCTGTTCAGCCTCCAGCGGACTTTAACCCTCCAGGTCATCTCTGAAATCAAAAAGGTGGGAAAAGGGCGTCCCCACTCGCCTCCAAACGGCCAGAAACTGGAAGAACCACAATTGTCGGTGAACTTCCTGGGTCCCATCACTTGTTTCTGGAGGACCTTCATTTGGCAAATCCACCCGCTTCATGGCTCACACCCCCCAAACCATCCCAAAACCCACCAACTCCGTCCCAAAGGCTGAGGATGACCAGCGAGGAAAAGTCTTGCACGATGACCTCGGCGGAGGGCGCCACCATACCTCGGCCCCGCACGCTCCACCGGCTCCAGGGGCCCCACGGGCGTCTCAAACAAAAAACCATTTCCCTGGCACACCAGCGCTTGGTCTCAAACGTAATGAACTTCGTCTCGAATGTAATGAAACAGACTTTAGTACAAAAGAAGACGTGTTATAATTAATGCCCTTGTTACTACTAGTAATGCCCTTGTTACTAGTAGCGATGCCCGTTGTAGTAGCGATGCCCTATGCAATGACGTCCAAGGCACCGTTCGCCTTGGGCGAAGTAAAGTCGACCACGTCATCCTTCTTCCCACCAGATGCACAGCCACCCATGCTCGACGGTCAATCTTGGATCAAGTCACATGAAATTGTGTGGGATATAGTGGGATGTCTGGAATTGCGGAATGATCGGCTTAAACACAAAAGAGCTCACAGCTGCCGTTGAGCAATGGAGGTTGCAAAGAGCCAATGCACTATTCAAAATGTTAACCGTTGTATAACCATTAAGGAGGTATGTTCTTTGTAGTTTCATCCTGTTGGTGTGGCTCAGGTCTCAAGCAAATAACTTGATGTTTATCTCTTTGAGCTTTGGAATTTGCCTCTCTTTGCGCATGTAAAGCCGCCCCAAAATGGGTCCACGCCCTTGGCTTTGAGCCAAGGTCCTGGAGTACACAGGAGCATGCAGCAATTTGCCAGCAAAAGTCGTCTTGCAAGTCATGTAGTATCACTTTGGAATCCGGGAATGCCTGTGAGAGTTCCGGCTGATACTGAGAAATCCGGTTTTCTGGATCAATTGTCAATGAATCACCGGGAGGTTGATGGTTGCTTCCAGGCAGGTCATGACCTTGACGGTGTCACCAGCGGCATTTGTGCTGGCATGCGCCGGCTTCCCTACGCCACTTCCCTGGTTGCTTGGATTTATTTCAAGATGCTACAGTGCCTATGCCATAGGTCTAATATAATTAGTTTGCCATTAGGTTGGAGGCCATCGCTATTAGAAACAAAGACGCAGAAAAGGAAGAAAGGTCTAATATTGCCAATCCCTTCCCAAACAGCACGGAACTTTGTTGTTTTTCTCTTTTTTTATCTGTGCCGATCTGACAGTTGCTCTCAGGCGTGGCCGACGGTCAAGTACGTCTTCCCTAAGCATATCATTCTGGCTCATGCCCACTCCAGCACATTTGAAAAGCATTGCCAAGATACCGAACTCAGAACATGCAAAACATATGCCAAACGAACGGCGGGTGTCAAATTCCTTTCATGTTGAGTCGCATTCCAGCAAACCGTTTTCTTCAGATTTGGGCATCATCAAGATGTTGAAAGTTTGGACCACACTCACACTCATCCCTTTTAGGTTGGAGGCCATCGCTATTGGGTTGGATGCCATCGCTCTTAGGTTGGAGGCCATCGCTTCTAGGTTGGAGGCCATCGCTCTTAGGTTGGAGGCCATCGCTAGTAGGTTGGAGGCCAGCCCTTTTAGGTTGGGGGCCAGCGCTCTTAGGTTGGAGGCCTTCGCTTCTAGGTTGGAGGCCATCGCTAGTAGGTTGGAGGCCAGCCCTTTTTTTGGTCGGAGGCCATCGCTTCTAGGTTGGAGGCCATCGCTCTTAGGTTGGAGGCCACCGCTAGTAGGTTGGAGGCAATCGCTAGTAGGTTGGAGGACATCGCTAGTAGGTTGGAGGCCATCGCTCTTAGGTTGGAGGCCATCTCTACTAGGTTGAAGGCCATCTCTACTAGGTTGGAGGCCATCGCTAGTAGGTTGGAGGCCAGCCCTTTTAGGTTGGAGGCCATCGCTCTTAGGTTGGAGGCCATCGCTTCTAGGTTGGAGGCCATCGCTAGTAGGTTGGAGGCCATCCCTTTTAGGTTAGAGGCCATCGCTTCTAGGTTGGAGGCCATCGCTCTTAGGTTGGAGACCATCGCTAGTAGGTTGGAGGCCATCGCTCTTAGGTTGGAGGCCATCTCTACTAGGTTGGAGGCCATCACTCCCAGGTTGGAGGCCATCGCTCTTAGGTTGGAGGCCATCGCTCTTAGGCTTGAGGCCATCGCTCTTAGGTTGGAGGCCATCGCTCTTACGTTGGAGGCCATCGCTCTTAGGTTGGAGGCCATCGCTTCTAGGTTGGGGGCCATCGCTCTTAGGTTGGAGGCCATCGCTAGTAGGTTGGAGGCCATCGCTCTTTGGTTGGAGGCCATCCCTTTTAGGTTAGAGGCCATCCCTTCTAGGTTGGAGGCCATCGCTCTTTGGTTGGAGGCCATCGCTTCTAGGTTGGAGGCCATCGCTAGTAGGTTGGAGACCATCGCTATTAGGTTGGAGGCCATCGCTAGTAGGTTGGAGGCCATCGCTCCCAGGTTGGAGGCCATCGCTCTTAGGTTGGAGGCCATCGCTCTTAGGCTTGAGGCCATCGCTCTTAGGTTGGAGGCCATTGCTAGTAGGTTGGAGGCCATCGCTCTTAGGTTGGAGGCCTTCGCTAGTAGGTTGGAGACCATCGCTCTTAGGTTGGAGGCCATCGCTCTTTGGTTGGAGGCCATTGCTATTGGGGTTACATAACTCTAAGCGAATCCGTCTTGAAACATGTGCTACCTGCCCCTACCTACTACCTCACGTGCACCCATTGCACCGTACCGGGTGTCCGTACCGAAGGTTTATCCTGAAGACTTCTGACACAAACACCAGCAAAACATGAAATATCAATGGGATCATATCAGAATAATTGGTTGGAGAGGGGTTGCTCACAAAATGCAAGCCATCAAACACCAGTCATTTCTCGATCGGATACGATCGGATCTTATTATTGTCTGAGCACTAGCACTGTGGTAGCACCTCTGCCATTCACAGAGGATGGTGAAATCATGTGAAACCAATCTGATGGGCCTTCTTTAGTCTGGCCATAGCGAGATTTCCTCAGCCTTGCAGCCAGCCATACACCCTGGAAGCTCTCCTTAAGTCATGACCTCTCCTGCGCGTGCCATGTTGGCCGCGTCTGCCACTCGAGCTTCCTGATCCTCAAGTGTCAAGTAAGGGTTCTTCCATCTACAAAGATATCCGTAGACCACGGACATGCGCAAGATGGCGCAACCGGCGCTGATGCTGAAGCACACACCCAAACCGATTCCGTACACTGTGAAGACCCACAGTATGGTGGCGCAGATTGCATTGTACAATGCCGCCAGCATCAACGCCATTGGCTCTCCAAAGTAGACGAAATTGTCCTTCACAAACTTCAGGGATGCCATATCATCAAGTGGTTCCACGTAGAGAGTGTTGAAGCAACAAGTCATGACTGCAACGAGGAGTTGGCCGATTGCTAATGTGGTGAAACCTTCGTACCACTGACAAATGAACGAAAAGCGGTCGTCCCCTGCCATCGTCTGGTCCACGGCCATTGTCCACACAACAGTCAAGAAAAGTGCACCTATCACTGCCTGGTTGGTCATGTTGTTGCGCATTGCTTCCCTGAGGCTGATTCCATTTGAGCGCTGCTCAATCATATTCCAGCCGATTTTGGGTGAGATGGCGGCGCAAAACAAATACTGCAGGACGCACAGCAGCCCTAAAGGCACCCAAACCTCGTGCACATTCTCCCTCACCACCTCTTCCACTTGACGGCTGCGATCTTTGAATGCAGCCAATACTGAAGGGGCCACCATGGCCACCAACGCCACTCCCCATGCGGTCATCCAATTTGAAGCGAGCAGCTGGGGCGTAGCACTGACTTTGTTGAAGCGATCCTTATCCAATTGTTTGGACATTGTGCTCCGAAGTACCCCCGGGATGTTGTCCTTGAGGTCATCCCAGCATTCAACCAGAGAGGGGTAGTCAAGACACCAATCATCTTTCAGCTTCGCCATGACCAGATCCTTAGCACCCGGATAATGCCTCAACGTCGCCTCTAGCCATGAGTCGAGGTCACCTGCAGCCGGAGCAGAAGCAGCTTGGGAGCCTTCTTGCTCCGGCTGATCCTCTGCAGAAATCTTGGTGGTTGGCATCGGCACGAAGCAAGCACCTCTTGAGCCGTATCATTCCTGCAGTTGCGGATATCCAACATTTGCTTTCTCTCAGAACTTGGGGTTCTTAGCCGAAGGAAGATTGGATAAGATTAGATTTTTCTTGGAGTTCTCCTTTTAGGCTCTTCCCAATGTCACTGCCGTGAGAGATGGCGCTGAAGTCGGCCCTGAGTTGCGAGCCCTTTCCCACACGAGGTGAGCACAAAAGAGGCACTGGATTCTGATGAAAAGGGGCACTGGAGAAGAATAGATCTTGCCCGCTACCCTCCCCCCAAAAAAGGACGGCTTTATTTGTGGACCATCCCACCATCTCTCCGTGCCATCTCTCCATTGAAAGAATCACGACGCCCCGTGACTAGCGATGATGCCCCGCCCATACTTGGTGTCCCATCCCTCCCCAGTTTGTTGTGCACCTTCGCTCTTCGGGTTTGCAATATTCTTTGGGTATGCCATGCCAGCTGAGAGATACTTGGAAACCTACATCGATTGCACTGCCGCTTGCTCGCAACTTCCGTAGCTCCATGCCTGGGCAGGCTGGATGTTCATGAGGTTTCAGGGCAGGTTTGAACCCAGGTTCTCAGTAGACGTTTCTGCGGAAACCTGAGCAAACCACGCTTTCTGTTTCAAGGGCAGATCACGTTCTCCTCATCTGGGTCGAGGTGCAAAACAACCTGCTCTCAGGTTGATGAGACAAACGTACAATGAATGAAGCTTATGGTGAGCCAGAATTCTCGAAAAAATTCAACAAGATCTACACACGAACAGCCACGTGACTCCTCGCGTGTCATGTCGGATTCCTACCAAGAGTTTGCTCAGGCTCTGTAATCTACAGTAGAAGTCTGAAACATATTGGCCCAGCAGGGCTGGAGCTTTTCCCAAAGAAACACACGTCCTTCTTCTCCATGCTGCACAAACCACACTTCCTCCCACAGGCCTTAGCCTTCACACTCTGGAAGGATGCAAGCGAGGCCAATGCAGAAGTGAAAGCAAAGTTCAAGTGCACAAGTCAAGTTTGCCAACAGCGGTACTGCTGTTCGTTTGACGCACTACCATTTGCAAATGCTGAATCCAGCCCAAGTGTGACGAGAACTACGCCGACTCTCGAATTGACCTTCCTGCCTTGTTCATGCGGAAGTCGGATTTCAAGTTAGAGGCGTCTTGCACCTGCAAGGGTGGAAACAGGTCAGGACCTGATGTGAAGATGCGAACTGAGCTTCTCGTCCCATTTAGGCTCAATAGCAAACAGTGCTGTCAGCGTTAAAGAGATTTGAAGAGTAATTAATGCTGCTTCTTTTCGACTCAAAAACATCGGCTTGGTCATCATCGAAGATATCTCTAACATGTGGAGTCGGTCCAGCCCATCAGAACTTGAGCATTGCACACGATGGCAGCATGGCCATGCTATCTCAAGAGATAGCAGCTTAGTACTCTTCGGCTGCTTTGGAGCCCTGCAACTTGTTGAAGGCCGGGTTCACTGCGTCGCGCCGCACGTTGTGGAAGTAGACGCCACTCACCATAGCAATGGTCCAAACCAATGGGATCTGCATGCCGAACATGGGTTTCGTGCCCATGGAAGTGCACACCCTGAAGGCATCACGGATGAGGGACAACATTGCGAGAAGCAAAGGCCGAGTCAGCAGATCCAGGATCACTCACAGCCAAGCAATGCTCTGAGCCCATGTGTGCGACGGACAATCGATTCGCAAAATGCGATCGTCATGAACCTCGACCTGGTGTTAAACAGGTAGCGCAAGTCAGAATTGTTGGAGCACGTCTTCCGCAGCAACATAGGCAGTGGCCCAGCAGGCCTTGATGGTCTTAGAGGAGAAGAAGCAGTGGAACTTTTGACCTCCAGGGTGCTGTCCTGAAGAAAAATGGGCTTCGTTCAAGCATGGAGCAGCTTTGGACTCAGTTGCGTTACTCTCCTATACCTGGCAAAATTTACTGGATCTGCAAATGTTCATACAGTCTCCATGACTGGGATTGCGTTCTCCACACATCGTTAGTTGTTGCCTAGGCTCTGCTCAACTACAATATACACACCAGTCTATCCATAGTGGTGTAGTGAGGTCAGCTGGGAACAGCTGCTGTCCGGCAGCAACAGGAACAGAAGTGGCAGTGGACCAGAAAACCATCACTGGGAGGCAGCAAGAACTACTATTGTCAAGTTCATCCTATGTTCCATTAGCGATGGCCTCCGGCGCTATTAGGTGGAGGGAGGCCATCGCTACTGTAACAAGAAGCTAGCAACTAGAGGCTTCCTTGGGAATCGTTTCACCTGTAGTAACAAAGCCACTAGGAGCTGACACCGAGTTGGGGGAGTTGGGCCAAAGAGCTAGAACCGTGTGCTTCGACGAAACTGCAGGACACGCGACTTACAACGAAAACAATGACCTGCTCATAAAAGCCCCTGCTACAGTAGCAGCTGGTGTCTATATGATGCTATACATCTTCAATGGATTTTAGGGGTGCAAGCTGCAAGTGGACCCAGCCAAGTAAAGTGAAATGATGACAACAAACGACACTAAATCAGTTCAATTGGAAGAAGGCAAAATGATATGAGGAGCGGGGCTGGGATTGTGATTGCTGAGAGGAGATGGGAGAAGAAAAAGGAGGGCAGTATATGATGTGCATAATGCTGTGTATAATATTATATACATGTCATAGTGAATTGCGATACCAGCGTTGATGTGTGCTGCGTGAAGATGATTTTTTTAACATATATATATATATATCAACTAAGATCGGGCAAAGATGCCTCCCCAGGTCACCAAGTGGGCAAGGAGCACAACAACACCATCACAACCACCAACAACAAGAGAAGAAGGAGGTGCAAACAGGAACTGCAGCCCAGCGAACAAATCCGCCCACACCGAACGTGCCGAGGCGTATCTTTAGGGCACGCGTTATACCGCAAGTACCGCAAGTACTAATAGCTTTAGCTAGGCGGGGGGGGGGGCATTTTCGCTCTAGAATCCTGTGTTTTTTGATGTTTTTGGAACCGGCTTAAAATGCTGGAAGATAAATTTGCGCTAACCTGAAGCCTTTAGTGATGCAAGAAATGCAAGTTTCTGCTTTCCATCGTCTGCATCATCTGAGCGGTACATTGAGCGGTACATAGCTATCTAACGGACGTGTCTGCGAGATAAGTAACTTCAACGTCGTAAACATGGCCCAATGAGGGCTCAAAAGGGACATCATCTGAGCGGTACATTGAGTGGTACCCCAGAAGTCCCTATCTCAAGTATGCTTCCTCGAGATAGGTACTTGAACGTCGTAAACATGGTCTAACGAAGGCTGCAAAGGGACTGGAATAGAGTGAAGATATTGCCTAACAGAGCCCTAGA